ACTCCTTCAGACTTCACGGGGTAAGGAGTTCTCCTGATCAGTAATCCAGCTTCACAATTTTCTTCTCTCCAAACATATTGAACTACCATTAGGAATGTCAGAGAAATTAATCAGATCTGCCTCATCTGGAGATATTGAACTTAGCAGAAAACCAGGAGATTCCCCCCCCAAAAAAAGTATCAATCTGGTTTGCACTGCAGAAAAGGAAAGAGCAATTTAATGCACATAAGTAAGAAAAAAGTGAGTAGAAAAATGCATGCATTGGGAAATTATTTGCATAAAACTAACATAATGATTGCAGAGCATACAACTCCTAGATAAAAGTGTGGATAAAATACACAGAAATGTTCATCCAGATTTAGGTGGGTTTGAAATATTTTAACCAGGTTTGCAAACTGATTGAACTGCAGCCAGGGAGATGAGAAATTCAGTGAAACCGAATTCCATCACTTTATCTATTTCTGTCTACAAGCTGCGTTGTCTGTAGCCTTTATGGGAATCATGTTGGTTAAGGCCGATTTAAGCTGTAATTCGATAGATCTGAAAGGAAGCCATTCACTACCACAGTGAGGTTCAGTGGCGCTGTGTTTCCTGGATTGTACCAGTTCACGTTGCAAGTGGGTAGGGGGTGGACCCTTGACGACACAGGGATAGATCTCTCTGTGGATGAAGAAGGACTGAAATTAGTCTGAGCAGGTAATTTTCTAGCAAGTTCAGGACCCTGGATAGATCCTGTAAAGTTCAGATTAAATGTTCAAGTGGATTTACCCCCTCTGTGAAACCCTCAACAAAGATTATTTAGTTTTCTTTTCTATAGAAGAGCATCACAAGCAGCTAACAATCCACCTGTGCTCTAAAGAAACGTAATTAGGGAGTAATGTTGCCTGATGATTATCCAAAATTGAGCTTGTTGATTGCATCAACTGGTCCTCTTGAGGACGTTTTAGACAAATTTCCCCCTTTTTCCCCAGAATGGATGGTTCTGCTGAGTGTGTCAGCCTTCGCTTCAATGTGCTAGGAAATGAGACAACTACAGTATTGATTCCAAGCTGTAGATGTGGAAGGCTACTTGATGCTCGGTAGACATTTGGACCGACATCACAGGAATGTACGAGTTAATGCTATGTGTCATTTTATTGACTGTTTCTATAGTGGGATGTATTGTGAAGATTCTTGCAATGCCCAGATCCTCCTGGCAAGGGGTTCTTTGGCTGGGAGAAAGCAGGAGTGGAAGATCTGTGTGTTATCATAAGCATTTATGCTCATCCCATGCGCGGTGAACTGTTGGTAATGGTAGATGACAGCAAAACACATTTCTTGCTGGCTGTTCCTTTTAGACTTATCAGTAGATATATTCAGGTTTGTCCAATGATAACAATAATTAGGGCAACTCTGCTTATGTCACTTCATTAGGATGTAATTATGTGTCCGTTATCAAAATATGGGGGTTTAGACACCAAAATACATTTTAGCTCTACATATAAACAAAGAAGGCAAGGGAGCCCACCTATCTGAAGTGTGATGTGATACCACAACTCATGAGAGAGAGTCTTCTTCACCCTCCTGACCTCATAATTCTGGAAGGAGTCAAATCACAAGTTCTTTTTTTATATATGTATTAAAAGTATAATTTTATTTATTTATAAAAATTAAAAAGCCAGAAGTTCAAGAGACAAAGAAGCACACTTTGAAAAAAAAATAACACATTGTTACCATCATCGTGGGCTGTCAAGTCAATTCTGATTTCTGGCAACTTAATTTCATGGTTTTCCAGGGAGAGAATATACAGAAGTGCTTTTTCCTTCCCCTCCTCTAGGGGGAGCCCTGGGACTGTGCAGCTTGCCCAAGGCTACCCAGGCTGGTTCTACTCTCAGGAGGCACACAGTGAGGAATCGAACTCCCAACCTTTGGCTCAAAAGTTAAAAAAAAAACTAAGGCAAGAGGAAGTGAAACTGGCAGATTTCCCATTGCTTCTTATTCATATGTGTCATGCTTTTGCTCATGTGTTTGGATATTTACAGACTAGTGTGAGTTTTTCCCCCAAGAAAATCACTATGGCGTCTAAGAAGAAACAGATTAATATGCAATTGGAGACGCAACAGAATTAAAATAATGAGGAGGGAGAATAGCAGGTAAAGCAGTAACAAAGGGAGAAATGATCCAGCCAGCCAGCAGGAATGGGGGTGGGGAATACAGTATATCTGTTGAAGATGGGGAAGCAGCTGTGATTTATCCCTAAAATCAATCAGGTACTCAGAGCAGCCACTTGGAGCTCTTGAAAGCTTTTGAAGGAGATTCAGAGCCTTTTTTTGAGTGGCACTCAACGTTCTCAAGTCCTTCCACCCCATTCCTCCAAATGGAAGAAATGTTTCCCCTCGGGAAAAGATCTGATGATGAGGGATGGAGATGAACTCACCTTGAAAGATGGCCAAGGTCCTCCTTCCTTCCTGGCAGCCATAGGAGAGATGCATCTGCTGGGGAAGTGACATTGGGCTTATGCGAGAGTCGTGGGGTTAAACAACGTCCTCCAAGGAGCCCTGGTGGAAATGATGGTGATGACAGACTAGTCTCCCCTCGGTTGGGCATTAATTAGGCCTCCTCTTGAGTCCTGTGTCCAGTTCTGGACACTACACATTGAAAAGGATATGGAGAAACTGGAACACATTCAGAGGAGGGCAACATCTTGAGCACATTATTACTTCTCAGTCATCCCAGAGTGCAGGACACGTAATAATGGGCTCAAGGTACAGGAAGCCAGATTTAGGCTGAATATCAGGAAAAACTTCTGAACTGTTAGAGCAGTACGACAACGGAACCGATGACTTCGGCAGCGCTCCAACACTTGAGGCATTCAATAGGAATTTGGACAACGGTCTGCCAGATCTACTTTGATTTGGATTCCTGCCTTGAGCAGGGGGTTGGACTGGATGGCCTTGTAGGCCCTTTCCAACTCAATTATTGTATGATCCTGTCAACAAGGATGCTCAAGGGAGCAGAAACCAAGAATATTGGGTGGAAATTTCCAACCACGTGGTACTGAGGTAAAGCCTTAATCCACACACACCCACAACCTGTCTGCAACCAGCTATAAGCTCACCTCAAGAGGATATATGCCTGGCAACTTTTGCCATGAATGTTTGGAACATTCATTTATCATCTTTCTGCGTTCCTCACAAGTTACTGGCACGTGCCTGAAGAAGTGGATTTTTAAGCCGTGAAAGTTTGCATTAATCGGTAGGATTTTAGTGGTCCCACGAAGGTGTCACATTCTTCTACATTTGTGTTGTGTAACAAGCACAGGGCTTCTTTTTGGATTTTGATTGCATTTGAGATGCCAATCCTGTGCTCAGAAATTGGTAGCTCAGTCTGCATGTATGCAAAGAATACTTAACCACAGGCTACTGTGTCACTTGATTTATTAGCACCGTGTGCTGTGCTGTGGTCCCTTTCCTCATTAGCATGCAAAAGTATGTGTATTATAGAATATACGCCACACCCTCCTCTTTCCTCCTGAAATCCGTTCCACAGATTGTCACCCCATTTCCTTTTAGGTTAGCTTGCTGTCATCTATAGGAGGAGAGAAGCCTTGCAGAGTCTGTATCCAGCATTTTTTTAAGGAAAGACAGCAGTGCCATCTTCTGGAGAATACCTGCAGTCATGCAGTGAAGCTTAAGGCAGGTTGAACACTCATGCCCAAGATCCCAGCTCCGGAAACAGACGAGTGTGATTCAGGTTGATTTGGATGTACTTTGGATGGAAGGGGGATGGCCAGATGCAGTTCGAGAATAAAGGAAAGGGGATTTCAAAATCAGTGTCTCCAAAGTTGAATCAGTCTAGCCTGCCTGCATAAATTCAATTCAACCAGGCAGGCACAAATTGCTCTGGATGGAATCAGGATACATTTGGCAGTCCGGATAGGCTCAAGTGAGCCATGTAGAGGCCTATACTCAAGTACAGTGGTGCCTCGCTTGACGAGGATAATCCGTGCCATTGAAATCGCTGTTAAGCGAAATCCTCGTCAAGCGAAATTAAAAAGCTCATTAGAATGCATTAGAAACTGACTAATGCGTTCTAATGGGCGAAATACCTCATTGTAAAGCGAAGATCCTCCATAGGGCGGCCATTTTCCGGTGCCTGTCTTGCGAAAAATGCCTCGTACAAACAGCGGGGGGGGGATTTTGAGAGCCATCGGCCATTTTGAAAACTGCCGATCAGCTGTTGAAAAAACATCATTTAGCGAAAATTTGGTTCCTGAAGCAGGGAACCGATCATCGCTAAGTGAAAAAAAACCATTTAAACATCGCTTTTGCGATCACAAAAACATCATCGTGAAGTGGATTCATCATTAAATAGGGTAATCGTCAAGCGGGACACGACTCTACCTCCTGTAAGCCATAATAGTAATGGCCAAGATCCCTGGTCGATTCCCCCAAGAGAAGCTGACATTGTCAATAGCCACAACACAATCAATAGCCACAAAACATTCAACAAAATGGCAAATTACTTCCTTCCACCAGTGAGGGGGACATTGGAGAGCAACATATTTATTTATGCATTCTATAAGGCTCATGATTAACAAAAACTGAAATAAATATGTTAGTCTCAAAAGTACTGCAATATTTTAATTGTTTCTGTTTCCTTTTCATTATTCTGGAAACAGACTAATGGTGATATGGATTTTAGAAATTTTCTGGACTACACATCCCATAAGTCTCCTTTCTGGGAGTCCTACCTGCAGGACCCAGATCTGACTAACACCTAGATTGTGCTCGCCTGGAATGAAGGCCCAACTGGCAGGCATTGTACTTTGGAAAAAGGAGTTTCCCAGCAGCCATGACAGAAAGTTGTTCAGGAAGGAGAGAAAGAAGCATAGCTATTCTCACATGTCCCTTCTAAAACCTTCTCCTGCAGGTTTTTGTACAAAGAAATTAGACTTTTATTATTTTTGGAAATTATTTATTGTATAAATTGCCACCAAAAGTCATGCTCTTAGGTTTTTTCTTTTCTCTCTTTGGGAATCTTCCCCAAGCAAGGTACAAAAATGAGGTTCACTTTGGGCTATGTAATGCTTTTTGAACCAAAACAATTAGAAATGTGTGTCACAAGGATACAGAAGTTCAAAAAAAAGGTGAGAGCATGGAAGATTTGATTCTAAGTCTCTAGGTCGTAGAAGACAGCATCAACATGGCGGTTGGCCATGGTGGCTACAGGGTTCTGGAAGGCATAACCTCCAAAATGTAACTTCTCCAAGTTCTCATAGAGGATATAGACCTACCATCTTGGAAACAAGATATTTTGGAAGGCTGGTTGCCTCAGAAACCACAGTTTTCCTGACTTCCTACCATAGTCCAAACTTTATTAAAGCTCTTCCAACGTTCTGCGTGGTTTCTGGAATGCAGACGGTTGAGAGAACATGGTTGCGGATGTTCTGGCAGAAGGTAGCCCTTGGGAGCACGGTCTTTCTAGAGGAACCATTCCCTTCCCGCTGCATGAGATTGCTCTCACTCCTTGATGATGCAAACCGAAGGGGTGGAGTGGACGTATTCGGAGTGACGGATCCCCAGGCTGAAACAGGGAGCCCTGGGTTTGTGGACGTTGACCGACTCAGCTTTGTAGTCAGGGGGACCTGGTGTATATTCCCGGCTGGAAGGATTGAGCCGCTGAGAGATACTGTACGCAGGTTGATGGTGGAGGTACACGTCTGGCTCTGGAATGGTGTGCATGGCCGGCCCAGGTCCTCTCACCAGATCTTTGGCGTAACTCCACACAGATGCGCTGGAAGCCATGGAGAGGCATGGTGCAGAACGCAAGACTGGCAACCGAGGTCCCAACGTCGCTGGGATGGAGTAGCTGTTGGGTGCCGGATACAAGCTATTCTCCCAGTACTGTGTGCGCACACCTATAGTATACGCTGGAGCATTGGGTTCCTCAAGAGGGTGTATCTTTTCCACATAATACTCATTTGGAGCAGGTGTTGGAGGTATACCTGTAAGCCGAAAGAAAGGAAACTTGAGACCCCTGGCTGGCCAGTTCTTTCTGGCTCATAGAGAGGATGACATGTGGACCAAATGATGTGTGGAGGCCACCGTTCGACAGGAACATGGAGGTGGAGATTGATTTGAGATTGGGCAGGGATTAAACCCACTTCCTTGTGAACCTTTGCTCGCTCCTTCCTTCCTTCTATCCATGATCAGCTCCTTCCTTCCTTCCTTCCTTCCTTCCTTCCTTCCTTCCTTCCTTCCTTCCTTCCTTCCTTCCTTCCTTCTATCCATGATCAGCTCCTTCCTTCCTTCCTTCCTTCCTTCCTTCCTTCCTTCCTTCGTATCAGAATGTTGTCCAATTATGGACATATACAAAATGTAGATAAAATTAAAAACAAATTAAAATGTTAATATCATTAGATTATTTTTGGCCATTTTTGGTTTCTAAACACACTTAGAATTTACTCTCAAACAGTAGTTCCCAACCTTGGGTCCCCAGATATTTTTGGACTGTAACTCCCAGAAAGCCTAGCCAGCACAGCTAGTGATGTGAAGGCTTCTGGGTGTTTTAGTCAAAGAACATCTGGGGACCCAAAGTTTTTAAACCAATTTTTTTCACCCTTCCATCCATGAAAAGATATAGGTTCCAAAGCGTTACTTTGGTGTTATAATTCAAATAGTGCTTATTAGCTGCCTTGAAGCTACCACCTGGGATGGGACATAATTTTTAAAAAAAGTATAAATTTTGCCTTCCCAGAAATGGCAAGAGTTTGACAGATAGAATCAGAACTTCAAACACTATGCTAATGGGCTTAAAAGGCAATTTGTTACTTGTTGCCCATTATTTTAGAGAAAGTACTGCCATGTTTCTCATTATAGAAGAAGTGGCGTGCTGCTAATGATACTGAAGTCTTGCTTGTTCAGTGCTTTTTTAAAAAAGGTACTTAGAAATACAGAAAAAGAAAAAACTAAGAAAAAATCCCACAAAATTACTCCCCAAAGATCCTGTTCTGGAAGTAATATATGGGTGTGGGAATCTAACTTTGGCATTATGTATGAAGAGTGGCTATGATCTAAATATCTATTTATTCTTCTTTCTCCATAACGAGAGAGAACAGAATGAAATTATGTTAAACTGTATAATATTCAGAGAGTGAAATATAAAGATTTTGTCCTTCTGCTTAACAGAATCGTTTATACAGGCTGAAGAATTAGACAGTTCTGCTGTAGAACCATAAGTGCATGGGTACAGACTATAAAGGCCAACATTTATGCCACCACGAGGGCAATGATCCTAACCTGGAGCAGCAAATGGACACTAGTTACTGAGTCCCTGGCTGAATTCCTAATGGCACATCAATGGTGTGACTTGGCGTGTGGCTGGGAATTAACGCAGGGATTTGTCAATTAGCAACCATCCACTACTCTGAGTTTACACCATTGAACTTATACTGACATAGATATTTAACTGGATTTTGTCCTAGGAGTCTTTCAGTGTGGTGTAGTGGATGGAGTGCTGGACTGGGACTCGTGAGGCCCGGGTTCAAATCTCTACTCAGCTACCAGGACTCACTGGGGGGTGCAGAACTGGTAAAAGCACTTAAATATCTCTCTTATCGTAGGGTCACTATAAGTCAGTTCTAAAACGGTGGTACATAACAACAACACACAGCAAGGACAGGCCACAGGACATATCCTCAGCTGCCCACTAGCTGTCAAGAGATCCACCACGCATAAGCAGGTAGAAAATACAGTGGTGCCTCGCTTGACGATGATAATCCGTTCCGTTGAAATCGCTGTTAAGCGAAATCGTCGTCAAGCGAATTTTAAAAACTCAATGAAATGCATGGAAAACTGTTCAATGCATTCCAATGGGCAAACACTGAAATGCATTGAAAACTGTTCAGTGTGTTCCAATGGGCTAAATACCTGCTCGTTTTGCAAAGATCCTTCATAGGGCGTCCATTTTCCGGTGCTTGTAAAGTATTTTGCACATCGGGCGGCCATTTTAGAGCCACCGATCATATTTTGCACATCGGGCAGCCATTTTAGAGTCGCCGATCAGCTATTTTAGGATCATCGTCTAGCAAAAAATCAGTTCCTGAATTTTAGGATCACCGTCTAGCAAAAAATCGGTTCGTGAAGCATGGAACCGATCATCAAGCAAATTTTCCCTATCTAAACATCATTTTGCAATCGCTATTGCGATTGCAAAAACCTCATCGTAAAGCGGATTCATCATTTAATGAGGTAATCATTAAGTGAGACACCTCTGTAATGACTTGGGAGTTGAGCCAGATCAAGGTTCAGAAGGAGGTTCAGAAAGTTCAGAAGGTGGATCAAGGTTCAGCAGGAGGAGCCTATGGTCTTTAAGACCACATGACCCCTATGCTGGGATAAATTGCCGGGAAAAGATGCCATTTTCCCAAGGCTAGATCTGCAGAGATGTGGTCGGGATGGTTAACCTTTCACTGTTAGAAGAAAAAGGCAAAATAAAAGTAGACTTGACGGACCGTTGACCTTTCAGTTGTAGCATGCATGAATGTGTCCCACCCCACCCTGATATGTGTGCACGGATTCTGCTTGACCGGCCAAAGCCACCAGGGAAGACTGCTACCCATGGAATGACCACCACTAGGGGGCAGAAAGAGCATGTTGTTGACCTGAAGAGCACAAAATAATGCTAGATTTCTGAACCAGAGAAGAGTAGAGTCACTTAGCAGCCACTTGCCCTGCGCACTCACCCTGGAGTGGCTATCTTCCTAGGGAGATAGAATTGCAACTGACTAACAAGCCTTCTGTCTTTAGCATCTCACTTTGGAACCCAACATCTAAGGAACCTTGTCTTCATGGATGGAGGATGCGTGGGTTATGACTCACTATTGAGTCCGATTCAAGCCATATCAGCACCTTGACTTGGACTTGACTCGGGGATTTCAGGGGGGATTCATGACTCAACTTGCGGCTTGGAGCCATTGATCTGAATCTCATTGTCCAGCCCCTCTGGGTCTTCCTAACGGCCAACACCATCTTCAGAGGCAGCAGGCCTGGCTTCTCTTCCAGGAGTCAGCTGTTGCCTCCACCCACACATCCTCTGCCCAGCTGATGGGCTGGCGCATGCGCAGAGACAGCGGGCCAACTGTCCTTCCCAGCGCTGGCCCTTGCATCTGAGCAGGCGCCAGCCTAGCAGTTGAGCAGCACATGTGCAAGTCTTTGGGTTCCAGTCCCGAATCCAAAGAGTCAAGGGAGGGCGGGGCAATCAACCCACGACTTGGATTTGAACTCGGGCTGGAAGACTTGCCAACCGACATCCCTGCCTTTCTCACCTCTGCTTCCTATTTCCGGTCTGTCCTCCTCTTGGCTGCCAGAGGATCTACAACAATAAATGAAAGGCAACCTTGGACTTACACGTCTTTTTCCTCTCCTGCGACATGCGGAAGGAGATCGGCCTCCACATTCCAAGATGGGAAAGGCAAGGATCCACATAATAGCAAGGTCCAGGACTCTCGACAGCCTCGATCACTGGCGGGTGGGATGAAGAAAGACCCATATAAGGTTTGGGGCAACTTTCTGAAGTAGTTTACTACAAATGCAATGGCTTGCTGAGTTTCCACTCAACAGTCCCCAAGGTTGCCTGAAAGCATCAACTTGAGTCCAAGATACATGCAGAACATGGGTGGGGTGGGGGTGGGGAACAAGTTTATTGGGCTATAGATCTCAGAGACCCCATACCAGTGTGGTTATTAGCCATGCAGGCTAGGTAATTCTGGCAGATGTATTCCTGAAAAAGCAGCTGTCCCAAGATCACACAGAGAGAGACCCAGACACATACAGAGAGAGAGAGAGAGAGAGAGAGAGAGAGAGAGAATCTGCTTTGATTTACATTCCTGCATTGACTCGATGGTCTTATACACCCCTTCCAAGCCCATTATTCAATGATTCTATGAACCCTACCATAAGAACAAAAAAATGTCTTTTACCAAGTTGGGCAAATGCATCAACTTGGCTTCTTTTAGCCAAGACTTACCCAGCCACTGCGATTCATGACCAGTCCAGGGGGACCTACCATGAAAGTTCACACATACCCCCGCGGTTACCTTATGGAAAATGCTTCGGCCAGAACGCAACCACCACTCTTAAGCACGTAAAACTGATTCCTCCTGATACCTAAATCAGTTCAACGCTTTAGGTCTCTGGCTGTGGAGCCAATGGTTGGGAGTTCAATTCCCCACTGTACCTCCTGCGAGTAGAACCAGCCTAGGTGGCTTTGGGCCAGCTGTACAAGCCCAAGATGCACCCCTGAAGAAGGGAATGAGAAACTACAGTATTTCTATTCTTCCACGGGAAAACCCTGGAGAGAGTTGTCATAAGTAAAAAATTGACTTGATGGCCCATTATTATTTTTATTATGCTATCTTCACTGATTGCTAGTTAGTTCTTAAGCGTCAATCAAAGTCCTGGCTTGAAGACGCAAGCCGGTCTGGAAGACAGATCGTTTTAAGGGCTTGTCGTCAGCCATACAAACCGATCTGCCAGGAGAAAATGTCTGATCAGTGTCTGAAAATGGGTCTGCAGTAGACAGACTTTTGTGTCACAAGAACACTTTTCCCCAAAACCCTTCCGGCTCCAGATCTGATGGCTTTCGGCAGGCGGTTAAGGCTTGCCTTCTCACAAGGTGCCGGCCAAAAAGTCGGAGAAAAAGACATATATATATATTTGTAGTGTATTTCATCTCGTTAGAGCTTATTAGCAGCTGGGGAGGAAAGGTGTTCTTTAAAACCAAACAGCCGGCTATTACTGTTAACATTTTACACCATGTAATTTGTGTTTTTCTGCTGTAATGGCAGTCAGAGGTTTTGGGTCAGGAAAACAGCACAAGGGCAAAATAATCCATCCTGCTGTATCATTACATTGGTCAAGTTAATAGCTTTCAATAGCTCCCCTTTGATTTTTTTCCCCCAAATGGAAGACTTGATCCTGGATCTTCTGGGTCACATCCTTTTTAGCCCTGAAAATACACCAGGTCTGGAAAGTACACATCGTCCATCTATGCCTAGCTAGTGAGAATGGCACTGTTTCATTTTAGCTAAAAGCTGTTCAGGCAGAAGCTGGCCCTCCACGCATTGCTCTTATAAGGGGATGGCTAGTGTGGCAGGATGTTTAGAGGGCTGGAATGGAACTTAGAAGATCCAGGCTGTAGGTCACTGTGAGATGTGAAACTCATCAGATGACCATGAAACACTTACAACACTCAAGAATTGAAAGGGAAGGAGGAGAACCAAGCACCCCACTGGATGGATGGATGGATGGATGGATGGATGGATGGATGGATGGATGGATAAGCACCCCACTGGATGGATGGATGGATAGATGGATGGATGGATGGATGGATGGATGGATGGATGGATGGATGGATGGATGGATGGATGGATGGATGGATGGATGGATGGATGGATGGATGGATGGATGGATGTTTATTCGATTTGTCCCCTTACACTTTTCTTTGGATTTCACACGCATTGTGTAGGCTGGTTCAGCATACTTGGTAACGTCATGATCCTTAATACCCGTGCAAGGCTGCCTGCTGTATTTCCCGGGGCCTGGCCCTGCAAGAGAATGAGAGACATCAACCGAGAAGGAATGCCTAGCCCAGACAAGCAGAACGCAATCCGCTCAAGTAGAATGTGAGCTGTTGTGATGGACCGTGTCCAAGATCAGCGCCCACCTCTGGTCTCCCTTCCTTCCACCTTCATCCTGAACACCCAACTCACCTTTAAACTTGGCGCTGATCAGGGCATACTGCCGAGCAGCCCCAGAGGCTCTGGCTGCAGGCTTCGGAGATGCAGGGTCACGATCCGCCAAGTGGATTCTGCTTTTTGATTTGGACCACTCCATTGCCGAATCCGCTCTGTTTCTGCTTTGGGTGCCACTGCCTCTTCTGGGAACAATACTAACTTGTAAGCAGCACACAGGAGGCCTGATTCCTCCTCCCCTTCCAGATCAACTGGGAAGGATAGAAATGGATCAACAGTGCAAGCAAATTAATACCATTCACATCACAGCTGCAGTAGAGTACCTAAGAGGAAGTCTTTGGGGCTTGGAGCAATTCCTTCTGCCTATCTCTCTCTGGTTCCCGGAGAATGGTCATCCCACCTCACGAAATCACGGGGAATACAATTTCCCTGAATGCCCCCATCTAGCATAGCCTTTAGATGGGGGTTCGGTAGATTTGATAGGGCCGGAGGCTGAAGGATCAAACTCAACACTCCTCACTGACCAAGCCAGACTTGGAAACAAAGGGAGAAAAAGCAACAGATTTTGTGAGGGGAAAAGTACAGAATGTGTGATTTTGAGCGTCAAAACTAGAGATGGGCACAAATCAGAAAAAAATTGTGATTTGTTTTGATTACAAATTAACACATTTATGAATTTTTCTGAATCAAATTGATTTGTCAATTCATTTTTAACTTTAAGACCCTAGAAAACAGCCTCCCCCAGGCATCTAGAGACCAGATTCAGAGGGGTGCTTCCCCCCCCAACTCTCCTCTATAAGCTCTGCCAGATTGGTGAGGGCTAGATTTCAGACATCTGAGTTACTCACAAGGAGGGCCCCTCAGGAAAGTTTCCCCAAGCACCTAGAGACGCCAAAATCACAGAGAAACGTCTACTGACTCTCCTCTATAATCCCTCCATGTTTTATAAAGATTGGATTTCAGACATCCAAGTTATACACCTACAAAATCGATTCCGGCCCCCCGGAAAGCGCCCTTTAGCAGCTGACTTGGTAAATCATGGAAACCAAGTCTTCACTACACTTAGGACTGCAGAGGAAAATCAGAGGATGCTTCCCTGAAATTTTGGTGCATCTAACTGCCTTGGGGGGTGGCATTTTATAGCCAAACGAATGGACAAATCAAAAATCAGTAAAATTTCGTTGATTTGTATCCGTTGGGTGCATTGATTCGTACAAACACGAATCGATAAATTCGCTATTTTTGAACAAATGGGGTGATTCGTGTTTTGAGTCATGCCCATCTCTACACAAAACTCACAACAGTAACTTTACCAAACTCTGTTTCCCTCTAAGAGAGGTAGGTATGCTCCCTCACATATGCTACTGCACCTTCTGCTTCTCCGCCTGTAACTGAAACCTGGAGGCAAATTTCAAGCAAAGCTCCTGGATTCTACCTTTAGAATTCCTCCAGGCTCTGCCCAACTGCCACCTTTTTCAGAACGTCAACAGCTTCTCGTGTTCCACTCGGGCTCCATGGTTGCTAAGACTCTGCTGATGCAAATTCAGAATCCATCTTGTTGCTTTCTGTGTTGCCATGGCTCTGGCCAGATAGCTCAGTGGTTTAGGTCTCAGAGGTTGGGGGTTCAAATCCCCCACTGTGTGCCTCCTAGGTGTAGAGCCAGCCTGGGTGGCCTTGGGCAAGCTGCACAGTCCCAGGAAATTTGGAAACTATTTCCCCAGAAACCCCTGAAAAAGGTGGCCATAAGTTAGAGTTGACTTGACAGCACTTGAGTCTTTATTATAGTTCTGGCAGAATGGTGTAAAACAGAATTTCAGTGTCTCCCTCCCTTCCTCTCAACGGTGTACACATACTGTTCACAGAAGGATTTCCTCTCCATTTAAACATCATATTCAGTCCACTAACCATCTACAAAGACATACCAATAACCCTGAAATATCATATATCCCAGCATCAGCAGTAGAAGCACTCCAAGATCAGCTGCTCTCAATATTTGCCCACTAGTGGCATCATCATTCCTATTGTTCCAACAGCATTCAATTCTGAATTTTCATGTTGCCTTATTCTATTCTTCTTGCTCATGACAATTTCTTTGTTCTCGGGGTGGGGTGTTTTACGTTTCAGCTACACATTCCCACCCCCACTGTCACATCCCACATCCAGCTGGCTCTACATTTTGCAGTGATGTGGTTTTGCTTAGTAGTGCCAGTTTCCTTATTATACATCAGGTTTTCTCCAAAAAACTGGGAGAATGGGTGGGGAGAGAGACTCTGTAGGGGAGGGGGACTGGGAAAGAGGGAAGAACAGGGTTTTTCAGGTAGAAAATACTCAGAAGTGCATTACCATTCCCTTCCTCTAGGAGCACCCTAGAGCTGTGCAGTTGGACCAAGGCCACCCAGGCTGGTTCTTCTCCCAGGGAGCAAAGAGAGAGGAATCAAACTCGCAACTTCTGGCTCTGCAGCCAGATATCTAAACCAGCTATGATTGTTAGTGGTCTAATAAAGGTATTCCCTACTCAGCATTCTACTTTATGAGGTATACCACAGACCGTTGCCCAAAAAAACGAGCAGATGGGACTTTGTAAAATGTATATAAGGAGGTGTTCCTTTTGACCAAGGCAGACGCACGGGACGTTGGTGAAGTTACTTTCTCAAACTCTTGTTCTCCATATTGCCCAGCCAGGATGGCCACTGCTTGGTGATATCGCTTTCTTGAACTACATTACCCAGAATTCCCCAGACATTTCAGCTACACACTGGCCAAGAGATGCTGGACCTTCTAACTTAAAAAACAAAAATGGTGTTGCTAAGATCGAGAAAGAAGAGTTTCCATTTTATCGTCAGAAATGGTGGCAGGGAGCTCCCCAAATCAGTTCTTAACCTTTGTTACTCAGGTGTTTTTGAACTGCAACTCCCAGAAACCCCAGCCAGCAGAGCTGATGGTGAAGGCTTCTGGGAGTTGCAGTCCAAAAACATCTAAGTAACAAAGGTTAAGAACCAATGCCGTAACAGAATTAGCAAATCCGCAGGGCTAGTGAGCATCTGATGGATGGTGTGATGATTGTGGTTTCAGCTGACGGTGACGGCCAAGGCCAGTTGATATTGCACTGATATCGGAGAATGTGATCACGCCGTGCAGCCGTGGCCTGACCACAGATGTCAGGCATCCCACAGATAGAGGAACTGGGTGTTATCGATGTGAGCACAGCATGGAAACAGAGATAAGCAGCAAAGTCAGATCAGCATGTGTCAACCCAACGTTCTGTTCGATTTCTCCTGAGCCTTACTGCGGTTTCTGTGCGGTTGTCAATCTAAATCACGCACCCTAAAGAACAACCTTAATGTCCCTGCTTGCCTCAAACGCCATACCAATGGCTACCTGGAAGGCGGGACCATATAGATCCATTTGTTTCAACCTTCAAAGACGACCCATTAAATCATGGTGTCACGAGCCAACTGCTCTCCACAGGAAGGACATCCTCAGGGCCATCTAGAAACCCAAAGTCTTTTTCATGGTTGAGCGTCCATGCCATCTTGAACGGATCTGATCTTATCTGATTCTGGAAGCTGAGCAGGACTGTGGCTGGTGAATATCTGGATGGGAGACCATCATGGAATACTAGGGATCTCTAGGTATGGCAAGGGCAGGATCTCACAGGACCCCCTGGAGATCCATTGCTGCCAGACTTGTCAGTACTGGCATAGGTGAGCCGATGGTCTGACATTCTACACTTACAAGGAACCATGACCCTCTCAAGGTTGTTCTGTCCTAGGTCTTTATTCATTGATCCAGCAATAGGTGGCGCTCATCCAGAGCGTAAGTCGGCTAATGGTAAATTCTCACTCGTGTACACAGTCGGCGTGCACATATAACGGATTCGGGAAGCATTGCAGAATACCTGCAACCTGAACATATCACCAAGAAATATTTGTTATTAGGATTGTTCAGGGAGGGCAGAGAGAAAGAGAGAAGCAGTGCCTTGTGAGGATTTGAAACCTAAACTGTAGGGTGAGACTCAACCTGAAATGGGATTAGGGAAGCAGGCTGGCAAAGCGTTCCCCAAGTCTCTCTCTCTCTCTCTCTCTACAATGCCTTGTGAGGATTTCTCTCTCTCTCTCTCTTTAATGTTTGCATCTCACCTCTAACCAAAAATGTTCCTAGTGGCACAAAAAGCACATAAATAGACACAGACTCTTCGGCCAGTGTCGTCACCCTTGGCAACCCTGGTATTGCTTCTCACCTCTAACCAAAAATGTTCCTAGTGGCACAAAAAGCACATAAATAGACACAGACTCTTCGGCCAGTGTCGTCACCCTTGGCAACCCTGGTATGGGGTCCGATTTAGACCGGAACTCCAGAGTGAAAGGCTAAAATCTGAAATTTAAGATCGCTGGTCAGAGACTCCAAGAATCACACAACCCTCGGGCAAAGACGTTCCCCCCCCCCTACAAAATACGCCTTTTGGTCAACTTACAGCCTTTTCTGCATGCTCAGTGCCCGAGCAACGGGTGCTATTTTGATGGTCAAACCCAACTGACCGTTAATTCATGCCATCTCTATGAGTGGAATCAAAATATATAAGTCATTCCCTCCACACGCACCCCGAGATCCCTTTTATGGTCATCTGAAAGCAGAGGGTGGCCGACGGAGCTTGCCAGCTCTCAAAATAGCCTGCATTTTAGAGCCGCCAGAAAAACGGAATGGCTTGGAGACATTTCTAAAAGCGACCGCTGGGCCTCGTTGCCAGAACCACTTCTGCCCAAATTCAGTCGTGTCGCAGCCTCCGGCAGCTCCACCCAGACGTTCCGTGGGAGAGACAATGGAAAAGGGGGAGATGCTGAGGAGGGTGGAGAAAGAGGTGGAGGCAAAGCTGCCGGAGGTCCAACCTGGTTCATGCATTTCTGCTCTTCCCGGGTTGGACTCATCTTTGGGGACATGCAGATGAAACCCAGCCGGGGATGGGGGGGGGCAAAGTGGTTTGGGATGGTTCTCCAGACCTCACCTCTGCCAATAATTCCCCGAGGAGCCTTAGAGAAGCCGCGGCCTCTGGGACCAGCCCTGCCGTTAGCTGGGCTGAGGCGCTCACCTTTGGTGTTCCCCGAGGAGCCTTAGCGAAGCTGCGGTCTCCGGGACCAGCCCTGCTATTAGCTGGGCTGAGGCGCTCACCTTTGGTGGCCCAGCCTGTTTGGCATCACCTGTGAGAATCACCTGTGCCCCAAGAGGGAGGCACTCTGCTGTAGGCAGATTTCGGTCAACCCTCCCTCCTCTTTCTCTCTCTTTCTCTTTCTCCCTCCCTTCACATCTCTTCCTTTCCCTTCCTCCCTTCTAATCTCCTTCCCTCTTTGATTTTCTCTGCCTCCCTTTTCTCTCTCTTTCTCCTTTCATCTCCATCTCTCTCTGTGTGTGTTTTCCTGACCCCCCTCTTCCTCCCTTCCTTCTCTATCCTTCTCTCTTGTCCTCTCTACTGCTTCTCTCTTTCTTTGTCCCTCTCCCCTTCTCTCGTTCTTTTCCCCCACTCTCTCGTCTTCTGTCTTCCTCACCCTCTCCATTGATCATTTTCTCCCCTTTCGCCCCTCTCTTTTGCTGTGTCTTGCCCATCTCTGGCATAAATGCACCATCATAGTTGTGGTTATGGGACATCAAGTTGCCGCCAACTTCTGGTGACCCTATGAATGAGAGATGTCCAGCCTGTCCTGCCCCCAACAAGCCCCACTCAGCTCTTGCAAACTCAAGACTGTGGCTTCCTTTAGGGAGTCAATACATCTTTTATTGGGTCTTCCTCTTTTCCTGCTGCCTTCGACTGCATCCTCATCCTCAATTTTTATGAAGAACGCAGACCCTCTTTTTTTAAAAAAACATTTTCCCCAAAGCTTGGTTTGCAAACTGGCAAAAGAGTAAAGGAACTGTTCTTTGTTGGCTTCAAGGCCAAACCTTGAGATCTAGAAACCGGATCTGAAGATCTGGGTCTCAAGGCACAAAGTTGAGCGAAGAAGCTGAGGAGAAAGTGTAAACGTCCTGATTCAGGAAGATGCATGAGTGGGTCCTCAATCAAATCAAGCCTGAACTATCTCTGGAGGCTAAAATGTGGACACTGAGGCTGCTCTACTTTGGGCACATCACAAGAACGGAAGAAAAGATGATAATAGTGGGAGAGGTGAAAGGCAGCAGGAAAAGAGGAAGACCAAATACGAGATGGGTAGAGTCCCGAAAGGAAGCCACAAGCTTGAATTTGGAAGAGCTGAGCAGGGCAGTTGAGGCCAAGGCATTCTGGAAATTGCTCATTCATAGGGTCACCATATGTCAGAAGCAATGTGGCGGCACATAACAATAATAATACAAAAAAACAAGCCTTCCATTCATTTTTTTTTAAAAGGATGAATACGATTGATGAAGTCCAAGAATTCTGGAGGCCTAAACTGAGGATGCAGCGAATAATGTTTTGGTCATAATAAGGGCATTTGGTTTGGGGAGCTGTCTGCCGATGTCCCTTCGAAGGG